AATAAAAACATAAGGAACAGCAGAAACAAGGAGGGGGGTAAAAGGAAGAAAGACTAAGAGGGTTGAGGAGGAACAGAAGGACAAGGAACGAAGTAAGAGAAAAAAACAAAGGATTGGTGAGGGAGAAGACAGCAGAGAGGAGGGGTGAGGGGAAAAGAGACAAGAGTGAGGGGATGGGGTGTGGTTTTAGAAAAAAAAGAAGGGGGGGTACGAGAGGGGGGAAAAAGAAGGAGGGGGGGGGTGACGTTAGGGAGGAAGGGAAAAACAGAGGGGGTGAGTTGAGAAGAGACCGAAAATGGGGGGAGGAGAGAGAGCCCCAAGGGGAAAATAGGGGTTGAGGGGTGAGGAAAAAACAAAAAGAGGGAGTAAGTGAAGGTTGAGAAAGAGAAGACATAGAGGATAGGGTAAAAAGGGTAGGAGAGAACAAAGAGGGGTAGGGGTGAGGAAGAGAGACACAGGGGGTTTAGGGGGGTGAGGGTGAGGGAAACAGAGAAGGGGAGGTTGAGGTGGGAAGAGACAGAGAGGAGTAGGGGTGAGGGGTGAGGAGAGAGAGACAGAGAGGAGTAGGGGTTAGGGGGCGACAGGAAAAAATGAGAGAGAAGCACATTCCTCCCTCCTCCTTCTTTCGCCCTCTCTCTCTTCAAAACAACAGCTGGGACAGGTGTGTTTTTACTGATCGTAGAGAGTGCACATGCTGACTGTGTGAATGTGTGTCTGAATGTGTGTGTGTGTTTGTGTCTGCTTATGCTGAGTCTGCACCATGTTTCACTCTTCAGCCCCTGCTGTTCTTGTTAAATCTGTTTCTGCTGAGAATAATTTGATCCCTAAGATTAATAAATCTACATTGACATTACCAGTGAAGTGAAGGATTAATTAAATGTTTGTGTGCACGTGAGTGCATGCGTACATGTCTGTGTCTCTCTCTCTCTGTGTGTGTGTTTGAGAGAGAGAGAGAGAGAGAGAGAGAGAGAGAGAGACCCTGGTTCAGGAAACAGAGGGATCCTGTTTTCGAGCAGACTGCCATTGTTCCACTGATGAAACACACACGACATCTTGTCCCCCTCTTGCCCGTACGCCCCAGACAACCATACCCTAACTCTCTCTTCCGAAGACACGTACACAATCACAATGATCATATGGGTGTATATTAACCCATTGTTGTAGCTTTGTCTAGTCTGTGTGTCTCCATACAGTAGATCCTTCTATTGTCCCCCTCCCTCCCTTCCTCCGTCTCTCTCCTTACATTGGGACTACACCCCTCCAATCAGACCATCCTTCTCTCATTCTCTCATCAACTATTCCCTTCATCTCTCTTTATTTTTCCTAGATTTTAGCCAGTATACACTTCCTCAAATTTGTCAGAATTAATGAAAGATAACTCAAGAAATCTGTCATTAATTTAGACGTTTTTGCTGAGGAGATCTAATGGCCTAAACTCACCAAAGGCGAGCGAGGTGTGTGTGTGATTTATTTTAGAATGTATTGTTTTGAATTATAATGACCCAAGCGAAGCCGGCGCCTCGCTCAATTAGAACGTGTCTCTATTTGTGCGTTTTATCGCTGGTGCTACAGTCTGTGTCACTTTTCTTTAGAGCTCATTTGAATTGGAAGAGGTAGCTATGGGTTGAGGCTTTACCATACATGCTAAATAAGACCAATTCATCCACTTATGGAAACACAACATTGCTATCAGCAAAGATGATTGGAGATATGGACTATCCTGCTAGAATAAAGTCACTGCTCTGCCTGTCCCCTCCTTTCCCCCCACCCACTTCTAGTGAGTTTTTCACTTTAGTTGGGCATTTTGACATCTAAGATGTTTGGTGCAGTATTTCTCAAGTGAAAACATCTGCATGAAAACGAGTCGTCTATCGTTGAATGACAACAAACAGTTCATTGAAGAATCCCTACTGTTGACCAATGACCGACGAAGGGACGTAGACTTCGGCTTCGAACTTTGGCTTGCCTCGAGAAAACGTGTGCACGAACAGCCAAAAAAAACCTTGCCGAAGACCAAAACAAAGAAAGAAGCCAAAATTGTCATAATATACGAACGAACTGCGGCACCTTTAGGCCACTCATCTCTTCCTCCCTCCCTCCTAGAGTAGAGCCGTAGTGTTTATATTGAGATATCCTCTTCTATTTCCAGTTGAATCAAAACCAGACCATTTCGTACTCACACCTGTAGGCTGCCTCTCTCCCTGTGGCATAGCTAATTTATGTCTCTCTATCCTTTTCCTTGATCCTTCCCTCCTCTCTTACATCTCCTGTTACACTCTGTCAATCTCTGCTGTTCCCTTGACCCTATTCCTCCCTCTGTTACACTCTGTCAATCTCTGCTGTTCCCTTGACCCTATTCCTCCCTCGTTACCTTTTGTCAACTCTTGCTGTTCCCTTGACCCTATTCCTCCCTCTGTTACACTCTGTCAATCTCTACGTTCTTGACCCTATTCCTCCCTCTGTTACACTGTCAACCGTATACCGTTCCATTGACCCCTATTCTCCCTCTGTTACACTCTGTCAACCTCTTACTGGTTTCCCTTGCCCCTATTCCTCCATCTGTTACACTCGTCAATCTTACTGTTCCCTGAACCCAATATCTTCCTACTGTCCTTGACCCTATTCCTCCCTCTGTTACACTCTGTCAATCTCTACTGTTCCCTTGACCCTATTCCTCCCTCTGTTACACTCTGTCAATCTCTACTGTTCCCTTGACCCTATTCCTCCCCGTTACACTCAACCTCTACTGTTCCATTGACCTATCTCCTCTGTTACATCTGTCAATCTCTACTGTTCCCTGACCCCTATTCCTCCTCGTTACACTGTCAACCTCTACTGTTCCCTGACCCTATTCCTTTCCTCACATTTCCCATTCACCCTCTCTTCCTTTTCCATGTCCCCTTCTCCCTCCTCAATCTTTACTAATTTTCTCACTTACCCTCCCTTCTCTATCTCCTCCCCCTCTTTTCCCCACTCCCCCTCTCTCGGTGTTGTGTCTGTGTGTTCTCAGTAGGGAGGCTGAATCTTTTGAGTACAGGAAGAGAAGCTGGCACACACACACGCTGAGAAACCCCAACACAGCGGTTCCCACAGCTGCCCAATCAGGCAGTGTTGGCTAGGAAAACACACTCACTCATGCACACACACTAACACATTCTCACTGCAGCACAATCACACTGCCTTGTCTCACTCGCACACAACCTCATTCCCAGTATTGCCCAATAACGCAAGGTCTCACACACTGCTTTCCACACAAACAAACCTACTGTAAGAATAACCTCATTAACCCTAAAACACAAACAAACCCCACAGAACAACAAGAGCAGGGGTGTATTCATTAGTCGGATTCCGTTGTAAAACGTTGTCCGTTTTGCAACATAAACTTTTTACCATTTACTCAAGGAAGCAAACAGAACCAAATGGTGAGCGACCTACCTGAATTTGTCCAATAGAAACTTACTTTTGGAGTAAACGGTATCCGTTGCTAAATGTTTTGCAACTGACTAATGTATACACCACTGGTGATCCACATGGTCAAGTGCAGTGCTCTCACCTCCTTCAATGAGTCTTCATATGTCTGCATATTCAGCCAATCAAATTGTACCTATTCATGTTAGCAGTAGGCCTATGTGGATACTCTTTTTCCACACAAGGAAAAACAGAGGTTAGACAACAGTATAAATCATTTATTCAATCAGTCTGAATACCCAGCAAAGCCCCAACTCCCTTATTTCCATAGTGATAATATCCCATTATAATAGCATATGTAGAATATCCTATTCACAATCCATTGCATCTAAAACAAAATAGCATAGACAATAAACTTACTTTATATTTAGTTTGGACAAATGTAAAACAAAATAAACAAAAACATATTGTGAACATGCACACAAAGGCATACGACCCAAATACAACAAACAAAAACATTGTGTATGAAACAAAACAGGAATGGAAATCTTAGTAACAACCGCTCACACAGAAAGAGTCTTCCCTCAGTTCATGGATTTAGAGACAACGTACCGATTATGTAGAGTACATGACGTCTGCTTAGAGTAGGGTTCCCTGGTTTTCCAGAAATCCTGGTTGGAGGGTTCCAGACTTCCTTATTATTCCCTTCAGATTCTGGGATTTCTCCAACTGGGATTTCGGAAAAACTTTATTGAACGTTCCCGGAATTTTGCAACCCTATTAGGAATGCACAACTGAGGGCTCTACACCCCAGCTACAACTAGTCCTACTAGAACCACACAGTCTTGCTGGTTTTCATCTCTCCTTGGTACTTCATTGATCCATTCATATCACTGATTGACTAGCGAGTCTAGACCGTAGACGGCTGGTTATACAGGTATACATCAGTCTAGTTAAAACAGAAGGATAATAACCCAGCAGATACTGTGGCTCCCAGGAACAGAGTTGTTCACCCCTAGTTTACAGGGTACCATAGTGATGAGGACATACAAGTCAACTATAAAAGGTGAGGGGGGTCTCAAACCCCACTAGGGGCGGGATCATCCTGCCCTGTTAGTTAGAGGGATTCAACCAATAGCAGCGCTTTGATGCTAAGAGCAAAAACCTCCCACTGGGTAACAGAGACTACTGTGATTGACAGGGCAGGACTGTCATGCCCATGGTTGAGTTGTGAGTTTGGTTATCTCAGGTGGCAGTAATGATGTCCCAGACTAGGACAGAAGGCACTAAAAGGAAGTGGTGGAGGGAGAAAGGGCCAGAGGAAAATGCCCCTATCCACTGACACAGGGTCAGATATTTATTCAGCATTTTTCATCCCCTATTGCTAGGGTACTCTGATCCTAGATCTGTGATTAGGGACAACTTCTGCCTTGAGTGGAGAAAGACTTCTTAAACCCTTGGTGGGTAGGAGTGATCATGAATCATTTAGAATATGAGTAACAATATCCGTGATTGACAGCCTGCCCATGATAGGGTCAAGAAGCCTGTTATCTCTCTCCCTTGTAACCGTTGGTGGGCGAGTCTCCAGCCACTTAGATTTCGATGAGCTTATAGGACGGCACACCTTGATTGACAGATGCAAATCTCCAGAACAGGAAGAACCGGATGAGACTGGTCACGATGCCTGGCGTGTTTGGAACCTGGAACACACAAACAAATACACAGAGGTTAAAGGTAATTTACAATCATTTACCAGTCCCCTTCCATCTAGCCCCTACCACGTCTCACATATACACACCATGATATAGTAGTCTTGCAGCTGTAGTCCATAGAGCGTCCAGGATGTTGAGGTGAGAAAGGTAGCTACAGTCAAAGAGAAGGACAAACACTCCACACTACCTGTACGCACTATCTTCATCTGACAGAGAGAAGAGAGGGGGAGAGAGAAGAGAGGGGGAGAGAGAAGAGAGGGGGAGATGAATTGATGCAATTCCAATGTATCCAAAAAGACAGCAGAAGGGATAAGACCCAGAACAACAGGAAGACATAGACAAGAGAAAGAAAGACAGGAAATAGACACAGGGTCATATGAGGAGACAGAGACAGACAGAGAGAGAGAATGAGACAAACAGGAAGGCGGAGAGTAGGGCTGCACAATTAATCGCAATATTGACATGTGCAATATCCATTTTTCAAGTGATCCATATTGCATGTCATATTTTGAAACGCCACTCAGCCACGTGTAATGTCCGTTTTTAATAGTTCACTAGTTCAGACTGTCGTCTCTCTCCTCTTGCAGCTGCTTCGCACACACCAAGCCCCGCCCCGTCACTCAAGCAGCACAGTTCCTCCTCCTCGCTGTTAGATTCACTAGAAGTTTGCATGTTGTTCTTTTAGGTCAAATGCAGTCAACAGATTGTTCCAAACAAGAATGATGCTGCTTTCCAATTTGTTTCTTAATATAAATCATTCCCTTTCTATGATTTCAACAGTTCGCCCAAGTGTTTTGATCTATATTGAACAAAAATATAAACGCAACATGTAATGTCTTGGTCCCATTTTTCATGAGCTGAAATAAAAGGATCCCAGAAATGTTCCACTTGCACAAAAAGCTTTTTTCTCTCAAAATGTTTGCAAAAATGTGTTTACGTCCCTGTTAGTGAGCATTTCTCCTTTGCCAAGATAATCCATCCACCTGACAGGTGTGGCATATCAAGAAGCTGATTAAACAGCATGATCATTACACAGATGCACCTTGTGCTGGGAACAATAAAAGGTCACTCTTAAATGTGCAGTTTTGTCACACAACACAATGCTACAGATGTCTCCATTTTGAGGGAGCACACAATTGACATGCTGACAGCAGGAATGTCCACCAGAGCTGTTGCCAGAGAATTGAATGTTCATTTCTCTACCATAAGCCGCCTTCAACCTCGTTTTAGAGAATTTGGCCGTACGTCCAACCGGCCTCACAACCGCAGACCACGTGTAACCACGCCAGCCCAGGACCGCCACATCCAGCTTCTTCACCTGTGGGATCATCTGAGACCAGCCACCCGGACAGCTGATGAAACTGAGGAGTATTTCTGTCTGTAATAAAGCCCTTTTGTGGGGAAAAACTCATTCTGATTGGCTGGGCCTATGCCCTCCCAGGCCCACCCATGGCTGCGCCCCTGCCCAGTCATGTGAAATCCATAGATTAGGGCCTAATGAATGCATTTCAATTGACTGATTTCCTTATATGAACTGTAACTCAGTAAATATTTTGAAATTGTTGCATGTTGCATTTATATTTTGGTTCAATATAAATTATATTGCAATATTTGCAACAACATTTTTTACAAATGCCCAAATCATGCAGCCCTAGCGGAGGAATAAACAGGAACACAGAGGAAAAGAGAGGAGGCGGAGGGAAAGGGGAGAAAGAGAGAGACAGAGAGTGATGAGAGGAGGTCATGTTCTGAAGCTGGCATCTTATTGGCCTGTTGATTGCCCTGTTGTTGCTCTAACTTACATATTTATGAGAGTATGTGAGGAATCTGAGTACTCTGAGGATAGTGGGTATCAGACCATTGTAAAAACAGGTATATTTGCCAGGCTAGTGAGTGAATGTTATCTGAACGTTGTATTAAAGTTGTATAAAAGTTTATTCACCAGGTCAATGCATGGAAAGGGTTTGCATATTTACCAGGTCAGCGAGTGGACTCAGGTACATGCTGACAGTGAACAGGCTGCAGGTGAGGCCTAACTGGGTGAATGTTGTATAAACGTTGTGTAGAGGTTTGTTAAATGTTGTGAAAGGTTTTGTATATTTACCAGGTCAGCGAGTGGACTCAGGTACAGTGAGGGAAAAAAGTATTTGATCCCCTGCTGATTTTGTACGTTTGCCCACTGACAAAGAAATTATCAGTCTATAATTTTAATGGTAGGTTTATTTGAACAGTGAGAGACAGAATAACAACAAAAAAATCCAGAAAAACGCATGTCAAAAATGTTATAAATTGATTTGCATTTTCATGAGGGAAATAAGTATTTGACCCCCTCTCAATCAGAAAGATTTCTGGCTTCCAGGTGTCTTTTATACAGGTAACGAGCTGAGATTAGGAGCACACTCTTAAAGGAAGTGCTCTTAATCTCAGCTTGTTACCTGTATAAAAGACACCTGTGCACAGAAGCAATCAATCAATCAGATTCCAAACTCTCCACCATGGCCAAGACCAAAGAGCTCTCCAAGGATCTCAGGGACAAGATTGTAGACCTACACAAGGCTGGAATGGGCTACAAGACCATCTCCAAGCAGCTTGGTGAGAAGGTGACAACAGTTGGTGTGATTATTCGCAAATGGAAGAAACACAAAATAACTGTCAATCTCCCTCGGCCTGGGGCTCCATGCAAGATCTCACCTCGTGGAGTTGCAATGATCATGATCATGAGGATCTTGTAAATGATCTCAAGGCAGCTGGGACCATAGTCATCAAGAAAACAATTGGTAACACACTACGCCGTGAAGGACTGAAATCCTGCAGCGCCCGCAAGGTCCCCCTGCTCAAGAAAGCACATATACAGGCCCGTCTGAAGTTTGCCAATGAACATCTGAATGATTCAGAGGAGAACTGGGTGAAAGTGTTGTGGTCAGAAGAGACCAAAATTGAGCTCTTTGGCATCAACTCAACTCGCCGTGTTTGGAGGAGGAGGAATGCTGCCTATGACCACAAGAACACCATCCACACCGTCAAACATGGAGGTGGAAACATTATGCTTTGGGGGTGTTTTTCTGCTAAGGGGACAGGACAACTTCACCGCATCAAAGGGACGATGGACGGCACCATGTACCATCAAATCTTGGGTAAGAACCTCCTTCCCTCAGCCAGGGCATTGAAAATGGGTCGTGGATGGGTATTCCAGCATAACAATGACCCAAAACACACGGCCAAGGCAACAAAGGAGTGGCTCAAGAAGAAGCACATTAAGGTCCTGGAGTGGCCTAGCCAGTCTCCAGACCTTAATCCCATAGAAAATCTGTGGAGAGAGCTGAAGGTTCGAGTTGCCAAACGTCAGCCTCGAAACATTAATGACTTGGAGAAGATCTGCAAAGAGGAGTGGGACAAAATCCCTCCTGAGATGTGTGCAAACCTGGTGGCCAACTACAAGAAACGTCTGACCTCTGTGATTGCCAACAAGGGTTTTGCCACCAAGTACTAAGTCATGTTTTGCTGAGGGGTCAAATACTTATTTCCCTCATTATAATCAAATCAATTTATAACATTTTTGACATGCGTTTTTTCTGGATTTCTTTGTTGTTTATTCTTTTCTCTCACTGTTTAAATCAGGGTGTCAAACTCATTTTAGCTCAGGGGCCCATGGGGGAAAAATCATTCCCAAGGGCCGGACCGGAAAAATCATGGTATTTAATATAACTTAAAAACAACAACTTCAGATTGTTTTCTTTTTTTTTAATACTATCAACATACAACATAAAGCTGGAGCCTGAGGACAGTGTGCCCAAAATAGTACAAGCACAACATCACTATTAATCATAAAACACGTCAAGTTTTTTTTGAAAATTCCTAAGAAAAGAACACACAAAACAAAACAATGCCTCAGTGATTAACATAACTATTTCACAGATCACAGAACTATATCGGGTGTCATTTCTCAGGCAGAAATGTAGATAAAAATAATGAATCCTTTTCCCCAAAAAAGTGCAAGAACCACAGAGTCAAGAATAGGTTAAATATACAAATAAAATCAATTAAAAACAATAGCACATCAACATAAAAACATAAACATAAATCTGAAAGCGTTGCTCAAACTCCCGTAACAGTCCCGTTATTTTATCTTTGAACCACTTCATGTCTGCCACATGTTGGGTCGCGCACACATTTTTCAGACAGGGGAAGTGAGCTGCATCACCACCGGCAAGTTGCGTCTCCCACAATGACAGCTTCAACTTGAAAGAACGTATGCTGTCATAATACTGCGTGACAACTTTGTTGCGCCCTTGCAGCTGTTTGTTCAAGTTATTCAGGTGCTGCTCTGTAACATCCACCATAAATGCAAGGTCCTGCATCCATTCTGCGGAATGAAATTCTAACACTGGTTTGCCCTTTTCTTCCATGAACTGTTCAATTTCTTCTCGTAAATCAAAGAAACGCCTCAGCACAGCACCTCGGCTTAACCATCTTACCTCAGTGTGGTATGGCAGGCCATAGATGTGGTCTTTCTCTCTGAGAAGGCTGTCAAACTGACGGTGATTCAGGCTTCTGGATCGGATGAAATTAACAGTTTGGATGACCACCTTCATGACGTTATCCATCTTTAATGACTTGCAACACAAAGCCTCCTGGTGCAAAATACAGTGAAAAGTCAAAAAATCACATCCTCCATTTGCAGATTGCACTTTCTCTCTGAACTTTGTCACAACGCCTGCTTTTTTCCCGATCATTGAGGGCGCACCATCTGTAGCCAGGCTGACAGCGCGGGACCAGTCCACTCCGACCCTGTCCAGCACGCCGACGAGTGCGGTAAAAATATCAGCTGCTGTCGTTGTATCTGTCATCGGCACCAACTCCACGAACTCCTCGGTGACGGTCAATGTGTCATCAACTCCGCGGATGAAAATGGCCAGTTGTGCAACATCTGTAATGTCCGTGCTTTCATCAATTGCAACCGAAAACGCAATAAATGACTTTACTGCAACTGTGTTTCTTGTCAGGCTGATATTTGCAAAAGCCTGCCGCTTTTCATGGCACACAATCTCCGCTGCCTTCATCATGCATGTTTTTACAAATTCACCCTCACTAAATGGTTTTGAAGCCACTGCGATTTCATTAGCAATGAGGTAGCTAGCTTTCACTGCAGCGTCACTGATGTCTCGGCTGTGAGTAAACACAGACTGCTGTTTCTTCAGACCCGCCAACAGTTCATTCACCTTCTCTCATCTCCGCTGTCCTTGAAAGTTGTCATATTTGTCGGCATGAAGACTCACATAGTGGCGACGAAGGTTATATTCTTTCAGCACTGCAACATGCTCTGAACACACCAAACATACAGCTTTCCCATTCAATTCCGTGAATAAATAGGATGACCATTTTTCTTGGAACACTCTGCACTCTGCGTCCACTTTTCTCTTTTTTGACAGAGACATATTGGGGCAATGAGGGTGCCAAAGCACATAATGTTAAAAGTAGAAGCCGTAATAAATATCGCGGGCAAACAAAGTAGTCATTCACGGCTTACTACTTGCTCTGCCCCGGTAATTTGCTGCTAACACAATCTATTGCGCATCAGTGGACGAATTGGAACACATTATTTTATTGAATGCGTTTTTCTTACAAAAAAAAAAATATATTATAATATATATATTTTTTTTTTTTTTCAAAAACTCTCTAAACCGTTGCGGCCTGACGGCCCGCGGGCCGTACGTTGAATTAAATAAACCTACCATGTAAAATTATAGACTGATCATGTCTTTGTCAGTGGGCAAACGTACAAAATCAGCAGGGGATCAAATACTTTTTTCCCTCACTGTACATGCTGACAGTGAACAGGCTGCAGGTGAGGCCTAACTGGGTGAATGTTGTGTAGCGGTTTGTTAAATGTTGTGAAAGGTTTTGTATATTTACCAGGTCAGCGAGTGGACTCAGGTACATGCTGATAGTGAACAGGCTGCAGGTGAGGCCTAACTGGGCCAGCTGAGACTCTCCCTGAGGAAGGAGAACACTGAAGTACAGCCAGCCTCCACAGACCACTCCTCCTGCTAGTAACGTCTGAGAGGTCACTCGCCTCTGGAACACACACGCACAACATTAGTTTACTGACACACACCCTAAAACTAGGCTACAAGCAGGGAACCAGTGGGCAGACATACTAAAGTGTATTTCAAACCATAACGGCAAAAGACAAACATTGAACTAAAGCAAACACACCCTGAATATATACAGAAAACCGTCATTATGATATCTACAGAAATGAACACCAGACCCATCTCGAAGACAAACTAATGCACTCCTGGGGGATTCAGGTCTGGGCATATATATATGTGATAAGTGACTATAAAATGCCATGGTCAGCTCACCTTGTTGTTGGTGTAGCGGCAGTAGGAGAGACCTTAAAACGATGTGGTCAGCTCACCTTGTCGTTGGTGTAATGGCAGTAGGAGAGACTATAAAACGCTGTGGTCAGCTCACCTTGTTGTTGGTGTAGTGGCAGTAGGAGAGACTATAGAACGCTGTGGTCAGCTCACCTTGTCGTTGGTGTAATGGCAGTAGGAGAGACCTTAAAACGATGTGGTCAGCTCACCTTGTCGTTGGTGTAATGGAAGTAGGAGAGACTATAAAACACTGTGGTCAGCTCACCTTGTCGTTGGTGTAGCGGCAGTAGGAGTGACCTTAAAACGCTGTGGTCAGCTCACCTTGTTGTAGGTGTAATGGCAGTAGGAGAGACTATAGAACGCTGTGGTCAGCTCACCTTGTCATTGGTGTAGTGGCAGTAGGAGAGACTATAAAACACTGTGGTCAGCTCACCTTGTCGTTGGTGTAGTGGCAGTAGGAGAGACTATAGAACGCTGTGGTCAGCTCACCTTGTCATTGGTGTAGTGGCAGTAGGAGAGACTATAGAACGCTGTGGTCAGCTCACCTTGTCGTTGGTGTAGTGGCAGTAGGAGACTATAGAACGCTGTGGTCAGCTCACCTTGTCGTTGGTGTAGTGGCTGTAGGAGAGACTATAAAACGCTCTGGTCAGCTCACCTTGTCATTGGTGTAGTGGCAGTAGGAGAGGATGTAGAGGGACTGTAGACAGGCTCCTATGGTGTTAACCAGGACCAGAGTCCCATCCGTCTTCAGTATCCCATAATACAGCCAGCCCAGGTTACTATAGAGACAAACAACAAGACTTTAGCTCAGCGGGCTAACACAGTATGACTTGTGCAGATGACCCGGGTTTGATCAGTGGTCGCTGGCACATAGCATTGGCACTGCACGCACGCACGACACACACACACACACACACACACACAGCTTACTTGAGGCATGTGGTGAGGAAGGGAAGGAACTGGACGTTATCTGCAGTTTTGGAAGCTCTCATCTTCTTCAGGTCCGTCCTGACAGAGACCCCCCCCACACACACACACACACACACACACACACACACACACACACACACACACACACACACACACACAGTTTTATAAGACATGCTTGCAACTCTGGCACAAGAAAAAGGATGCAACTGAACTAACATATTATTTTAGTATCACCTGACCTGAGCATTCTATTTGCACAAGCCTCAGGCATTGAACGAATAACTAAGCAAATATTTGTATAACTCCTATTTGTGACATAAGGGTGGACTTGCTAACTAGCTAACCAACACCTAGCTATCAAATGAAATCGCTATGTTTCTACAGTTTAATGCAATACAAACAAGCAAATTAGAACTGAATTTGGTCTCTGCCCAAGTTTGCGATGTTGGCAATAAAGAACAGGTATCTAGCTAGCTACTTAGCCAGGTAGTTTCTCTGAAAAGCAGAAAGCTGTCAAACTTACAGTCCAGTCGAGAACATCCCGACTGTAAATACGATGCACGCCCATGACAGAAACTGCAAAAACTCCATATAACGGAAAACGGAATATGTGGTACGTAGATAGCTAGGTATGTGTCTAAATTGTGAGTAATTTCGCTATGAATATCAAATCAGCTATCGTCCAAATAGTTGACATCTGCATCAGCGATTCAACGTTGACGTCGTTCTAACTACACTGTATTTCCGTGTTTGTAATCAGGGGCATATTCATTACGCCAATTCTGTTGCAAAATGTTTCTTATACGGAAGCAAACGGAACGAAACGGGGAGAGACCTAACTGCATGTGTCCAATAGAAACTCTAGTTTTGCTCTGTTTGCTTCAGTTTGGTTCTTTAACGGTAAATGGTTTCCGTAATGAATACACTACAGTATTCTGAAATAATTCTGCACTCTGATTGGCAAATAAGGATGAGAGGCGGGATAGGTTTCCACCAATGACATGATGGTCAATATGACGATAGATGATTTCGCTCTTTTAGGTACAGATCTTGGATCAGCCTTTCCTCCCAAAACATTAACCTAAACCGTTAAGGGAAAGAATGCTAAACTGACCTTAGATCAGTGTCCACGGGCAACGCTATCCTACCCCCTCTCTCCCTGGAGATAATAAATTACATCTGTGATCACTAATAATGGGATTTAGATGTTGCCGAGGGTGCCCCTACATCAGTGTCCAGGGACATATTATTTGGTCACTAAATGCACTAATTTAGATGAACGCATCAGAATATAGTCCATGTCAAATGTGGATAAGGGGGAGATCGTGATACTCTGATCAAATAGTGTAAAACCACAGTCTGTTTTGGGGTAGGTAGGATACTGCTGCAAAAACCTACTACTCCTACGGCTACCAGGTAGACAAAAAAAAAGAGGGTCCATTTGCCAATGTTGTTTGATTACCTGCCATCTGAGACATGTATTTAGAAATGTATGGCTCAATCATTCAATCAATCAATTAATCAAATGTATTTGATAAAGTCAATTTTACAACAACAGTTGCCTGTCATATACTGTATCTGTGCTCAATAATAGCTGTATATAACTCCCATCCTTAGCAAAGAATATCCTAATGACATATTCCTCTATGAGACAGACAACAAGACCACAGTCAGAATACTGGGATGTCTAGTAGTGTAGTCTGGGCATCACACAGTGTGAAGTTTTCACCTTGGAGGCATGCTGGGTTGGAATGAATGACATCCTCTTCGGTATCATCACTGAGATCCAATTTAAATACCCAAATATAGCCTGGAATGTTCTAAACAGTGTAACCTTGTACCAGATACACCCTCTCCACAATATGCACCTTTATGTTATGTATGATAATAATAGTAATGAGCAATAGGGTTTTGCACATTGTGAGGGAAAACTCATCTCAGTCACTAGAGTGTGAAGTGGAACTGCTCCTAATGAATGTTTTGTCTGTGTAATAAACATTTCCAGGTGAACAAAAAGGAGAGCAGTTGCAGATAAAGTAAATCAAAAATCAATCCGGTTTATTACAAGTTGCAACAGGGAGACACCACCCAGCACAGAAGCAGAGAAAATATCTAACTGGCCTCTTGGAGACAGAACCTTAATATTTTAATCAGCAGCACCAAATGTTCTGTAAACAGCAGCCTGAGAAGCTTGTAGGAAGTTAAAACAAAAAGGCAACAACTTTGTCAGCTGCTACAGAATCCCACAGTGTTCAGAATGTCATCAATACAATACAACAGTTAATAATCAGTGTGTCCTTGGTCCTTGTACATGGACCTCCAGTCTGGCGTCAATCACTATCAACAGATATGGGAATAATCCATAACATTCACTATCAAGTCTAGTGACCATCAACCCACACTAGTTCACAAGCATTTCGCTACACCTGCAATAACATCTGCTAAATATGTGTATGTGACCAATACAATTTGATTTGATCAACCCACACTAGTGACCATCAACTCACACTAGTGACCATCAACTCACACTAATGACCGTCAACCCTCACTAGTGACCATCAACCCGCACCTTGAGTGTCACAAACAGAACAATGGAATTGATGTGTAATAAAGAAACTCAAAATATGCTAAACATTGTGTCTAAACTGAATATTAATTTTATTTACACCCCTTGACTTTTTCCACATTTTGTTATGTCACAGCCTGAATTTAAATTGAGATTTTGTGTCACTGATCTACACACAATACCCCATAATGTCAAAATGGAATTTGTAGAAATGTTTTGGAAATAATAAAAAATGAAAATCTGAAATGTCTTGAGTCAACAAGTATTCAACCCCTTTGTTGTGGAAAGCCTAAATAAGTTCAGGAGTAAAAATGTATTTAGTCAATAAGTATTAAACCCCTTTGTTATGGCAAGCCTAAATAAATTCAGGAATACTAATGTGCTTAACAAATCACATAATAAGTTGCATGGACTCATTCTGTGTTCAATAATAGTGGTTAACATGTGGTCCTCTGTAGCTCAGCTGGTAGAGCACGGCGCTTGTAACGCCAAGGTAGTGGGTTCGATCCCCGGGACCACCCATACACAAAAAAAAATAAAAAAATGTATGCACGCATGACTGTAAGTCGCTTTGGATAAAAGCGTCTGCTAAATGGCATATTATTATTATAACATGATTTTTGAATGACTACCCCATCTCTGTACCTCACACATACAATTATCTGTAAGGTCCCTCAATCGAGTAGTGAATTTCATGCACAGATTCAACCACAAAGATCAGGGAGTTTTTTCAATGCCTCGCAAAGAAGGGCACCGATTGGTAAGCAGATGCTGAATATCCCTTTGAGCATGGTGAAGTTATTAATTAGGTTTTGAATGGTGTATCAATACACCCAGACCCAGATACAGGCATCCTTCCTAACTACAAAGATACAGGCATCCTTCCTAACTCAGTTGCCAGAGAGGACGGAAACTGCTCAGGAATTTCCCCATGAGGCCATTGGTGATTTAAAAACAGTTACAGAGTTTAATGGCTGTGATATGAGAAAACTGAGGATGGATCAACAACATTGTAGTTACTCCACAATACTAACCTATAATAATAAATAATAATATGCCATTTAGCAGACGCTTTTATCCAAAGCGACTTACAGTGACAGAGTGAAAATAAGGAAGCTTGTACAGAATAAACAATATTCCAAAACATGCATCATGTTTGCAACAAGGCACTAAAGTAATGCTGCAAAAAATTTAGCAAAGAAATTAACTTTTTGGCCTGAATACAAAGCGTTATGTTTTGGGCAAATCCAACACAACACATCACTGAGTACCACTCTTCATATTATCAAGCATGGTGGTGGCTGTATCATATTATAGGTATGCTTGTCATCGGCAAGGACTAAGGAGTTTAAAAAAAATAAAAATAAAATGGAATACAGCTAATCACATGCAAAATCCTAGAGGAAAACCTGGTTCAGTCTTCTTTCCAACAGACACTGGGAGACAAATACACCTTTCACCAGGACAATAACCTAAAACACAAGGCCAAATCTACACTGGAGTCACTAAGACAACACTGAATGTTCCTGAGTGGCCTAATTACAGTTTAGACATAAACTGGCTTGAAAATCTATGGCAAGACTTGAAAATGAATTTTTAGCAATGATCAACAACCAACTTGACATAGCTTGAAGAATTTAAAAATAATAATGGGCAAATATTGTACAATCCAGGTGTGCAAAGCTCTTAGAGACTTACCTAAAAAGACTCACAGCTGTAATCACTGCCAAAGGTGTTTCTAACATGTATTGTCTCAGGGGGTTGATTAACTTATTTATGTAATCAAGAAATATTAGTGTTTTATCTTTCAAAATTGTAATAAATGTTAGAATTTTTCTTCCACTTTGACATTACAGAGTATTTTGTGTAGATCGTTGACCAAAAATGAAAATTAAATCCATTTTAATCCCACTTTGTAACCCAACGAAATGTGGAAAAAGTCAAGGGGTGTTTCTGAAGGCACTGTATCTTACATTTCCCCATTACAGTCTGCTTTCACAATGGAAGAGTTTATTTCCAAAATGTGGTTGTCTCACCTAGCTATCTTAAGATGAATGCACTTACTGTAAGTCGCTCTGGATAAGAGCATCTGCTAAATGGCTAAAATGTAAAATGTAAATGTTTTACATACAGATCTCATATTACGGTATTTAATTATATACAGTACCAGTCAAAAGTTTGGACACACCTACTCATTCAAGGGATTTTCTTTATTTTTACTATTTTCTACATTGTAGAATAATAGTGAAGAAATCAAAACTATGAAATAACACATATGGAATCCATGTAGTAACCAAAAAAGTGTTAAACAAATATATGTTATATTTGAGATTCTTCGAAGTAGCCACCCTTTGCCTTGATGACAGCTTTGCACACTCTTGGCATTCTCTCAACCAGCTTCATGAGGTAGTCACCTGGAATGCATTTCAATTAAAAGGTGTGCCTTGTTAAAAGTTAATTTGATGAATTTCTTTCCTTCTTAATGCGTTTGAGCCAATCAGTTGTGTTGTGACAAGGTAGGGGTGGTATACAGAAGATAACCCTATTTGGTAAAAGACCAAGTCCATATTATGCCAAAGACTGTTCAAATAAACAAAGAGAAACGACAGTCCATCATTACTTTAAGACATGAAGGTCAGTCAATACGGAACATTTCAAGAACTTTGAAGGTTTCAGTCGCAAAAACCATCAAGCGCTATGATGAAACTAGCTCTCATGAGGACCGCCACAGGAAACGAAGACCCAGAGTTACCTCTGTTGCAGAGGATAAGTTCATTCGATTTACCAGTCTCAGAAATTGCTGCCCAAATATATGCTTCACAGAGTTCAAGTCACAGATACATCTCAACATCAACTGTTCAGAGGAGACTGCTTGAATCAGGCCTTCATGGTCGAGTTGCTGCAAAGAAACCACTACTAAAGGACACCAATAATAAGAAGAGACTTGCTTGGGCCAAGAAACACGAGCAATGGACATTAGACCGGTAGAAATCTGTCCTTTGGTTTGATGAGTCCAAATTGGAGA